TGCCTTACCATTCATACATAGGTACATGGGTAAGTTAGATTTTACTGAAGATTTGATGTATCTAAAGGGAATTACCAAATGGGGAGTGGTAGTAATAATAAGATATAATTTATTAGTATTAATATTATGTTGATAATATAACAATATTTATGTAATATAATAAAGCAATAATCTAAAATTTTGCACTAAATATGATTTTTTCTACAATCTAAGGGAAACTTAGCCAAGAAATTGGGCAAGTCACAGGTGTGTCCTCATGGGTACACCATCCCCAACCTCACTCCCCTGTCCTCAGATATGTGCCTCTATAAAAAGGAGGCTCTTCTTCTTAAATTCCCATGGGATAACCACACCCATCTTTCGGAAAATTGCACAAGGGGCAGCCCAAGATGTTCGTGTATATTCCATATCCAGACTACTCACTATTTAGGTCTCCATACTGGGGTGAGATGCGGACACCCTGTCCAGCAAGTGTGTTTCCTTGTCCAGCAATTATTTAACTATTGGATCACACACATATAAGCACCAATGAGTCTCAAAAACAATGTCACCTAAGCCTATAAGACAGAAATGTTTTCCTGGAAAACTGTGAGGTCATGTTAACTTTTATTTATTTGTTTATTTATAAATGACTCATCACCCGAGGTTCCCCACCCCCCATTGGTTTTTAGAGAGAATGGAAGGAAGGGAGAGAGGGAGGGAGGGAGGGAGGGAGGAAAATAGAGAGAGAGGGAGAGAGAGAGAGAGAGAGAGAGAGAGAGAGAGAGAGAGAGAGAGAGAGACATCGATTGGTTGCCTCCCACATGTGCCCCAACCTGGGCAGGGATGGAACCTATAACCCAGGTACATGCCCTTGACTGAGAATCAAACCTGCCACCCTTTGATGCACAGGCAGACACTCTAACTGAGGTACCCTGACCAGGGCACATTAACCTTTTAATTCTCTGAGCATCTCAGTCTCCTTCTAATGTCAGGGCCTTCATACAAACTATTCCTTTTGCCTGGAATACATTTCTCCCAACTTTCACTTTTCACCTTAACAAAGAGATCTCCTTTGACTTAAAGTAGTTTTCATTGCATACTGTTATTTTCTTTCATAGTTTTTATCTTTAAATTATACAAGCATTTGTTTGTTTAATTTCTGTGACTCTCACTAGCCTGTAAGCTCCCTGGGTCAGATCCCATGTCTATTATGTTCCTCTCTGTATTGATAGTCTCAGGCACAATGCCCAGCACATAGTAGGTACTCAATTTTTTAAAATATATATTTTATTAATTTTTCACAGAGAGGAAGAGAGAGGGATAGATAGAAACATCTATGAGAGAGAATCATCGATCAGCTGTCTCTTGCACACCCCCTACTGGGGATGTGCCCGCAACCAAGGTACATGCCCTTGACCGGAATTGAACCTGGGACCCTTCAGTCCACAGGCTGACGCTCTATCCACTGAGCCAAACCGGTTTCGGTGGTACTCAATAATTTTTATGAAAAGATAAAATAATACATGAATGATGGATTTGGATAAAATGAACAGAATTTTAAAAGTTCTCCTATCCTATCCTCTATTAGAGAGCATTTCTTCCTCTGTCCTCCATCAGATTACCTTTGTACTTACTCCCACATTTCCTAGGCAGTACCACATGCTCTGAAACCTTCCTGCCCTGTCAAAATTTGGCTATCCTGTCACAGTTCACAGGGACCCTGCCCTTTTATGGCCAGTAGGGGTACAGATTCCATTTTAATTCATGCTTGCAGACTAATTTGTTTTCTCAGTATTTTTATCTTAATCATCAACTTCTATTGTAGAAAACCAAAAGTTTGCCCTAAAATAAACACTCCAAATCCACCTCTGTTTACTAATATATATTAATCAAGTCCATTACTAAATTCAGGAGTGATGAATTCATAAATATAACCAGGGCAGTTTGCAGTTGTTAATTCAACACCTATTTACTGACTCTCTTCTCTGGTTGAGAAACTTAGCATTTTTCACGGAGCCCTCAATCCAGAAGGGGAGCAAAATATTATAACTAAAAACATGAGCTGTCTCTGCCCTGGCCTGTGTGGCTCAGTTGATTGGAGAGTTGTCCTATGACTGAAGGGTTATGGTTTTATTCCAGGTCCAGGCACGTGTGGGAGGCAACCCATCAATTTTCCCCCCCCTCTCACATCAGGATCTTTCAAGCCGTGCTTAAGAGTTTGGATTTTCTTGTATGAGCAACGGGAAGACATTAAAGGGTTTTAAGTAGGAATGACATCATGTCATTCATGTTTTAAAGGGTCACTCTGGCTGCAGAGTGGAGAATGAATTGGAGGAATCCTGTGGGAAGCAAAATTTTAGGAGGCTGTTCACCAAAGAAATGATGATAGATAGCTTGGATGAGGGCGACGATAAAAGGTGGAGAGAGGTATTTGAAGACATACTTGATAAGAATTGGTAACTGGAGGTTGAGCAAAGATGTGAAATGTTTTTTACTAGTTTCTAGCAATAAGTGGAACACTCCAGGGAAAGGTCAGATAGGGATGCGAGGTTGGGGGGTGTGGGGTAGAAAATCAAGAGCTCAGGATTGGACGTATCACGTTTGAAATCCCTGTGAGTTATCCACAGGGACATACTTTGGAATGGAGCTCTGACAGGGGCAGAGTGAGATGCAAATCTGTGAACCGTCTGCACAGACAAATGGCATCTGGAGCCATGAGTGTGGATGCCATTGCAGGGCTAAGGGGAAGTGAGAGAAATGAGATGCCCCAGCGCTAAATCCTGAGAAACTATAACAAAGGCAGGAATCACACTTGTTTACAGTGGTCGGCAAACTCATTAGTCAACAAATAGTACAACTGAAATTTCTTTTGAGAGTAAAATTTTTTAAACTTGAACTTCTAACGCCACTTCTTCAAAACAGACTCGCCCAGGCCGTGGTATTTTGTGAAAGAGCCACACTCAAGGGGCCAAAGAGCTGCATGTGGCTCACGAGCCATGGTTTGACAACCATTGGTTTAATAGTCAGACTTTTGTGAATTAATGAGAGGGAAGATTTTCAGAAAACAACCCAGATTATGGTTCTTCTTGTAATGAACTCTTAGGCACTAATAGCAATTTACCCCAAACTCAGTGGCTTAAACCACATAAATGTATTCTCTTGAGTTTCTGGAGGTCAGAGTGCAAAATAGGTCTCACTGGGCTAAAGACAAGGTGCTGGCAAGGCTGCACCCCTTCTGAAGCGTGGAGAAGAATCTGTGTCCCTGCCCTTTTCTGGCTTCCGGAGGCTGCCCATATTCCTTGGCTTATGAGCTGCTTGCATCTTCAAAGCCAACAAATGACAGGTCAAGTCTTTCTCACGCTGCATCACTGACACTGACTCTCCTTTCTCCTTTCTCCCCCTTTTACTTTTAAAGGACCCCCCCCCCCCATGGTTACATTAGGTCCTCGTGGGTAATCAGGGATACTCTCCCCATCTCAGGATTTGCAGCCTTAATCCTTAATTCAATCTGTAATGTTAATTCCCCCTTACCATGAAACATGACATAGGAACAGGGTCAGTAAAATAGGGGTTGACCTCTTTGGGGGTCAGTATTTGACCTACCAAACCTGACAAGCCTTGTTTATTCCCCTTTGGGAAAATGTACATACTACTCAAGTCCTAGGAGGACGTGCTCTCTGATAGGCCCAAAGGGTGGCACTTGACAAAGGTAGTGAGATTTACTTATGTGTCTGTGTATGTTTGTGTGTTCATACCTATATGTAAGCAATGCACCCAAGTGGATAAGGAAGAGAAACTCAGTAGCAAAGTTATTGGTTAAGGACTTATTTATACTTCCCTTGTTAACTAAAATAGCCATTTGTTTGAACAAGGATCCTTAGGTTGTAATTCTAGCTAATGCCTCTGTCTCAGTTCAGTTGGGCTGCTATACCATCGTCCCAAAGGCTGGGTAGCTTTATGAACAAGAGAAATTTATTTCTCACAGTTATGGAGGCTGGGAAGTTCAAGATCAAGATCAAGGTGCCGGCAGATTTGCTGTGACTGGTGAGAGTCCGCTTCCTGGTTCATAGGTGGCCATCTTCGCCTATGAACTCACGTGGCAAAAGGGGCAAAGGAGCTCTCTGAGGTCTCTTTTATAAGGACATTCATCTGTTCATGAAGGCTCCATGCTCATGACCTAATCACTCCAAAGGCCTCACCTCCAAATATCATTACATAGTATTTCAACATATGACTTTTGGAGCAACAAAAACATTCAGTCTATATCAGTCTCTTAATAAAACATAATGTCATGTAACACTTCTTAGAATGGTTAAAATAAAACAAAAATTGAAAACAAAAACCCCTGATAATACCAAATGCCTGTAGAATGAGTACAGCTGAGAATTGTTGGTGAGCATGCAAATGGGGTGGCCACTCTGACCCACAGCCTGAGAAGGTTAATCGTGGGACAATCTTACTTCTAGGTGTTTACCCAAAGATAAATAAAAATATATATTCACATGAAACCTGTACGTGAATGTTTATAGTGGCTTTATTTGTAATCACCAAAATCTAGAAACAACCCAAATATCCCTTAACTGAGGAATGGATAAACAAATGGTGGTACATTTATACAATGGGATGCTACTCAGGAATAAAAATGGAACAGACCTCTGATACATGCAAAAAAGTGGATGAATTTCTAATGCACTCTGCTATGAGAAGGAATCCAAACTGAATTGGCTACATGCTGCTGCCATTTTGTGACATTCTGAAAAAGACGAAGGCATATATAGAGAAAAATAGATCAGAGGTTGCTAAGGACTGGAGGTGAGGGAAGGCGTTGACTGCAAAGTGACAAGAAGCATGTTTCGGGTAACGGGATTGTTCTTTATCTTAACGTGGTGATGGTTACGATTACGGAGGTGTTTGTCTAAATTCAGAACTACCTTAGAAAGGCTACATTTTTAGTCTCTGTAAACATTAAGTTTTCTAAAAAGAATGTGAACAGATTCTATAGGTCTTTTTGGTCCAAGAAAGGTCTGTATTTTTAGAGTGTTATTTTTTCCTACTGTCTTAAGAGATAGTTAAATGAATCCAATAAAATAAAGTTCCTTTACAAGAGATGGCTAAGTACCTTCTTTGTTGAAATGTATCATAGAAAGAACACAAACCAGGAGTCAGGAAAGCAGGCTCCCCTAACAGATTGTCACTAACTAGTTTTTATTTATTTTTTATTTTAGACAAAGTTATTAAGCTTTTTGGGGCTCAGCTTGCTCTAGCTGTAAAACGGAAATAAAGCTTGATCAACCCTATCTCATGGAGTATTAGGAATGTCAGAAGCCAAATGAAAAGTCTACATTGAAGATCTTGTTAACATTGAGAGTCCCCTTCCACAATAAAGTATTATCACCCCTCTTCTAATCCTAATAACTTACTACTTAGTTATCGCTGGCTCTGCTGGGTAGTGAGGTAAGCATGGCATATGCAGTAACTTAGGATCATGACAACACTCATGTGTGGCTGGTACCAGTGTTCCAGCAACTCTAGTTTACAGAGAAGGAAGCAGAAGTTTTCAGAGGTTACATAGATGTGTCTGAGTCACCCAGCTAATATGAGGTAAAGTGGAGACAGAATTCAATGCTGTCTGACCCTGGGCCCATGGTCCTATCTATCCCTCCATCTTGCTTTTCTCAGAGTTATTTTCTATTTAGAGGCAAAATGTTCTGGTTGGACTAAAATATGTACACACAGAGAATCATATTGTGTGTGTGTATATATATATATTCATATTATATACAGGTAATGCATATGAGAAAGCCAAATATCTACTAACCCACTGAAGTTTTTGGTCAATACAGTTGTAAAAAAGATAAAGAGGGTAGCATGAATGAAATCAGCATTTATATTACTTGGATGATATAAATTTTAGTAGGGTCAAATAGGTGTTTGTTTATTTACCCAATAATGCCCATCTACTTTTTACCCAATAAGTTTTTATATAAAGAAAGAGGAGATCTTACTTTGATACCCAACTTTCTTCAAGTGACTTAATGCAGTTCCTTGAAGTAAATACTTATTCATTTTAATACTTTTAAAAGCAATATGAAATTATATCTAAGGACCATTTTAGCTGTGCCCCATATGTTCTGATATGTAGCACTTTTATACTTGTTCAGGTCTAAACGATGTGCAATTTCCATTGTAGTTTCCTCTTCAACTCATGAATTGTTTGGAGATGTGCTTAATCAAAATGTGATGTTTCTCCCTTTCTATATTGTTATATTGATGCCTAACTTAGTGACAATGTGGTTAAAAAAGTAATCTCTATGCTGACAAATTTTTTGAAAAATTTTAGGCTGTCCTTTGTGTCTGATACTTGGTTGATTTTGTTAAGCGTTGTGTGTGTGCCTGAATGGGATGTGCATCTTTGATTTGGGGAGCAAGGAGTTTCATGTAGCTATAATAAGTATTTCAATCCATGAGGCATGGCCTACAACAAAAATATAATTTTAACTTTATTCAGTGGGAGTGAACTTCCTCTGTTCCTAGATATAAATTGTGGGAAATGTATTTTTATTCCTACAAAATAATCTAGAGTCCCATTTCCACTTTGGTCCCCAAATCACCACCTCTCAGGGTCCTGCAGGAAATGTCCATCAATGCTTCAGTCTGCTCCCAGGTGAGGTTGCCCTCCCTCCATGCTAAGCTCTGTATTGGCTATGGCCGGCCTTGGTGAATAGAGCAGGTTTCTGAATCTTGTCTTTTCTGTCTCTTCCTCAGCCTCTAAGCCTCCTGCTCCTGCTATGGATCCTGTTTCTGTGAGCAGCACCAGCACACACTTGCCTGGGTCAGAACTAGGAATTATCCTGAACTCATCTTCCCACTGGCACACCCATTTCTAGACTCATTGACTCTACTTTCCAAATATCTCTCAAATTGGTACCCATCCCTCAGTCTTTGTTGCCACAGCCTTCGTTCAGACCACCTTTACCTCTTGCTTGCATCCTTCGAATTGCCTGTGAACTGATCCTCATGTCTGCTTTGCCTCCTACTAAATTCTCTGCTGTAGCCAGTGATTTTTCTAAAATATAAATCCCATTACATCATTCTCTGCTCAGCTCATTCAGTAGGACTCTATAGATCACAGAATAAACTTCAAAGTTCTTAACTTTGCTTACATGGCCCCTTAGCATCTGGCTCCACTTAAAAAAATAATTAATTTTTATTTTTCAATTATAATTTACATTCAATCTGAAACGAATACAGGGTCTGGCTCCATTTAAAAAAAATTTTTTTTCAGCATCTCCTGTGTCATTTCCTTCTTTCTAAATGAATCTACACTCTAGGCATTCTTGTAGGTCTTAAAATATGCTATGTCCTTCCACTAGTCAAAGATTACACATACACATACATCCTTTTGTATATACACACACATATACATATCTAGAAAATATATGTATATATAGTGGAAATTATAAGAATTAATAAATGTTTTTTTAATTTTTATTTACTTTTGCTGCAAAAATGTTTATTGTTTCATTTTGTCCAATTCATTGGAGAGGGCTCCAGGGTGTTTAAAAGAATGACTAGTAGTTTCAGGAAGAGGCTCAGGTAAAAGCCAGAGATGCCAGGGGATACAGAGGGGCCTCTGTGCTTGGGGGTGAGTCTTTCCAAGAGACACTCTCCCAGCCCAGCCTGCGGGGCGGCCAGCCTGCGGATGTTAGTCAGGTGGTCACTCATCTCGTCATCCAGGAAGTGGTACTCCAAAAAGTCACAGAGATGAGGGTCTGCATGGGCATGCAGCTCCAAAAGGGTCTGGTTCGGGTTCCTCCCCAGAGCCAGGGCGGCTTCCATGACATCCTGAGTTTTTCCCATTCATCTTGGGGAGGTTTCTGCAGGTCCTGGAAGAGAATGCGGCCACCATGCCTGTTTTGCAACTTTAAGAGATGCTCGGTGCCCTCGCGCTTCTTCTCCGCCAACTCTCAAAAGAAGTGGCCCACACCCTCCAGAGCCACATCATCAAGACTGAAATAGAAGCCCAGAGAGAGGTAGGTGTAGGAGGCCCGCAGAGGCAGGTTGGGCAGGCAGTTAACTGCAGCCTCCACCTCGTTGGAATAATTCTGATGAATTTGGGAGCTCATGGCTGTTCAGCAATGAGGAGTTAAGCTAGGAAAAAACCTGGTGTGTTGGCTGGTCCTGGAGGTGGTTCTGAAGGTGGTGACTGGATGAGACCCAGGAAAGTGGTCGGAGGCTGGAAGAAGGGGTGTCCCTGGGTCTGTTCCATCCAAACACTGTTGAAGCAGGAGAAGACACGGGACCTCCGAGGGCACTGCCAACAAACACTTTTTAAAATTGTACATAGATATCTGATTATAGAAGGCGGATTAGCTAATACAGTCGTTTCTTCTTCTTCCCTAGGTCCCTGTCAGAACCACGGTAAGAGCATATAAAAGGTATAGAGATTCATGGGAGCAGAAAGAATGGGACTGAAGTCAAGAGCAAATAAGAGATTCCGCCCATTTCTGGAATGCAGATTCGGCAAATTCAGAAGCTTAAGAGAAACGGCTTCTTTGCACGCAAAGTGGAGCAGAGACAAAAGAAATCAGATCTGCCCAGAGGAATCCCAGAAGGACTTAGGATTCTGGAATGCCAGGTAGTGGCTGGTATTGAGGCTTAGGGCTGAAAACATGGAGATTTTATGGTTCAGTTGACTGCCATCCATTTCTTTGGGCATAAAATGTCAGCAGCCTGGTTTCTGTCCTAAGCCTAGAGGTCAGAGGTGACTTCCCAGGGGACCTCAAGATTCCTAGAGAAAAGGCCTCCACATACTTGTTGTACAAAGAACTAAAAAGATAAAATCAAGAAAATCTCCCAGAGAATAGAACAGAAAGATAAAGAGAGAAAAACAAAAACAAAAACAAAAAAAACCCCAACAACTCTAAAACAACATTTAAAACATCCATGCAGCACAGAGGATTAAACCAACAGGGTCAACATCGGACTGGTTGCAATCCAAAAAGCTAGAATAAAGGAAGTGAAGGTGAAGAAATGATCATAGAAACCACATAAGGAAATTTCCCAAGATTAGAGTCTGTTCAAATAATCAATTTCTCAGGGAAGCCTTTCCTGGCCAATTCCTCCACCCTGCGCTCCTTGCCTTTCCTCTGCACTTTGTTTTGTTCCACGGAACTTATAAGCACCTGGCATGCTATGCATTTTACGTCTCTCCTCCCCATTAGAAGGAAGGCTCTATGCAGGCGAGGAGTTTAGCCAGCTTTGTTTAGAGTGGCTTCCTCGGGGCCCAGCTAGCAGTGCTCGGCATGGGAGGTGCTCAGTCCTTATTGGTGAAGTGAATGAGCAAGTGAATGATGCGAGGGATCTAAAATCTCATCTGCCAGGGAAAGAATTTAGTTGATCGTGCCTCCAATTGGTTCATCAATCAAACATTCCCTAAGCCTATACTTTAGAAAGAACGGGCAGCCACCTGAAGGAATGAATGAAAGAATTACAGGGGCCGAGGTGCGAGTGAGCATTAGGATGAGAGAGCAGGAGTGGGGCGGGGGGGGGGGGGGGGGGGGGGGGGGAGTCACTGTCCTTTCCATTAGTTTGTGCAAACTGCTGTTTTCACCACGCACCTGCACTGTTTATTTTTTTCAAACAGTGTATATGTCTTAGAAAAACAGTTTTATTTGTTTACTGGAAATATGTCATTTCAACAATAATAAACCTAACTGCTATTGAGCACTTACTGTATGCCAGGCATTGTGCTAAGATTTATATGGATCATTGAAGAATGTATTATATATCTGCTGTCATTTTGCAAGGGTCAAAAACATTTGTATTTAACCCAAAATTAGGGGGGGAAAACCCTCAATTCCAAAATATTAATATTTAGAAACCTAAACTCAATTGCTTCTCAATGCTCACAACAAAGGTATACATTTGCTATGCCTTCTCAGGTCCCTAAAATGCAAGGAATAAAACACATCCTATAATACTTTTTTAAAATAAAATTTTTATTTATTGGAAGTCCTCATAGAA